CCAACCTCCCTTTCATCTGGACAGCGTCGGGAGGCTGTCGGAACTGCATATTACGTCATTTCAAAGTAGTTTTCCCAGCTCTTATGTCCGGGAAGAGGATTGCTGTGATACGGCCTCTGGCGCGTGTCACTTGAGAGTTAATCCGTGCTCGTGTCAATGCGTTCGTGTGTGTATGTGTGTGTGTGTTGGTGAGGGAGGAGGGGGCGAGGGCAGTGACTAATTGGTACGTCCGAAGTACCAACCCCAACGAGGCAGCACCGCGAAACTACCACCCCCTTCCTCCCCCCTCACCGACACATACTCCGGCACGCATTGCTCTCGCGCCAAAAGTTTAAACTAGGGGCATAACCATCACTACCGCGGCGTGTGTCGGATAATGCCCCCCTCAGCTCACTCTACCCGCTGCTGCGATATCCGTGCGAAACCCCAAGTCTTCCTGCCAGACGAGACTCACTTTGTCATCGCGTATGAAAGAGACTTCTCGTCCCTAATAAGGAAGTTGATGTTGATTTGCAGAACTCTTTGAGATACATTCTGTAAAGACAGCTCTTCATGTACAGATATACACCATCGCTCTAATGTGGTGATTAAGAGCTGTGGCCCAATCTGGGTGAGGTGCGTTTAGATTGGCTTAGTGGGAAAATATAGACCAGCAGCCTTGAGTCATGGTACAAGGTAAAGCGGCCTTGCTTCATGCGAGCCTTAATACCCTTATCGTTTAATTTAAAGGCGTGCAATAGAAGTGGAACGAAGGTCCTCTCAGGGCGAGGGGACGAGGCCTGCTTGCTGCCCCTCCAAGGAGTTGTTCCTTTGCTGTTGGTCAGGCCCCGCCACGCCACGCTTCGCCCCTTCTCGCGAGATGTTCTAATGATCAACCATTAATTTGCCAGCTCCGCCTGCTTGCCGAATTCAATTTACAAGATGGCTAATCTCGAGTCACGTTCAAAGGTCTAATTATTTTCGTCCACAAGGAGATGCATATCCTGTTCAGTGGCGGGGGCACCACCATCAAGAGCAAAGCACAAAACATCAGCCGATGGTGATTTTCAGCGATAAACCAGATAATTTGAACTGTGCGTCTGATCGCGGCTCAAATTATGCCTGGAGTTGAAAGTTTCGGGTTATTAATACTTTTTCTCCGCTAATTTGCAAAGTTGAATCCCCCTCCCCCCTCCACCCCTCGCTCTCGCTCCCTCCTCTCTGTCGTCTGGGGCCTCCCCTCCCTGCTCAGCGCCACAGGGCCCTCGAGGCCCGTAGGGCAAAGCACCCTTCTGATTTAGTTTGCCGCCCTGGGCTCGGCTCGGCTCGGCTCGGCTCGGCTCGGCTCGCAGCGAGGAAGAAGTGCAAACGGTCGATAAGATGCAACGCTGGTTCAGAACATCCTCCCCGGGCCATCATTCCACATGGGGGGAGTCTCGATTGTCGGGTCCACTTGGCGGTCAGGACCAATTTGACTAGGTTGAGTCACCCCGTGGAGTACACTGGAAAAAGAAAGGTGTGATGTCCTACCGTGTCCTACCTTTCCAGGGGTGTTAAACTCGTTATAGGGGTGTTAAAAGTGTGCATTTTTTGTGTTTTCAAAATGTTTCATGTATGAGTCAACCACTTTAATTTCGGGATGCACCATCGCATTCCCCTAAAATTCAGCGTCGTACAAGCCGCATGTAACAAGCAAATTTAAAAGCAAGTCCAAAAAAAATGCAGTCAATTTATACAATTTTTGAACAGAACACTATCACATGTGGTTCTTTTGACGCAGAATTTTGCGTAGATTTCGGAAGTATGCTTCCTATTTATGAGGAAGTTGCCCAATAAGAGGAACAAGAAGAAGGTAGCACTGAGGAGGTGGCGTGGCGTAGTGCCGTCCCTAAACAAAGCAGAACGCCGGTGGGTGACGCCGGCGACCGTACAGTGTTTTATCGCGAGTGGATGTGTGATCATAAATCAAGTTTTGTAGAATTTGTAAAGAAAAATTGGGTCCATATTAGACCGGCGTAGCAACATAGTGTCAAAAAGTGCTTTCTGCAAAGTTTGGCCTCGGAAAAGTAAGTTTATACAATCTTCTAAACCGTCCCGGTGTCGTTGTTTAGGTTAGTGTACGGACATATTACATTGGTACAATTTTAACTCAATGATAATGACTCAACTGTAATAAACTTTGGTATAGGTGGTACTAAGATGCTAGATCCATAGGCCCGTTCTAAACTGTTTGAAATCTAACGACTCGCATCCTAACCTCTGCTAGACTGTCGCTCATCTTCTGCCTTGTTTAGGGACGGCACTACGCCACGCCACCTCCTCAGTGCTACCTTCTTCTTGTTCCTCTTATCGGGCAACCTCCTCATAGGTGTCAGACCCCAATGTTATTCCATGGGAAGTAAATATTTCGCAAAATACAACTGTAATGCCTTTGGAGCTTTCATGCCTTTTAAAGGTTACGTTCTCTGTCTCACCCTCTCGCCCTCCTGTTGCAGTCGCCCCGGTGTGCAAGACAGACGGCGTGGTGGTGGTGGGCGCCGCGCTGCAGGAGCACCTCCGCGTCCGCTGCCGGGTGGCGGCCGACCCCGCGGACGCCGTCACGTTCTTCTGGCAGTTCAACAACAGCGGCAACACGTACGACGTGCAGGAGTCGCGCCCGGGGCCCATGACGGCCGACCTCGAGTACACGGCGCTGTCGGAGCGGGACTACGGCACCCTGGCCTGCTGGGCCTCCAACGAGGTCGGGCGCCAGCAGGAGCCCTGCATGTTCCGGGTCGTGCAAGCCAGTGAGTGTCACACCCACACGAACAGAATCATTGTACTCCCCCCAAAGCAAATCAGAAAAGAATCAATGAAAGTAGAAAACATTACTCCAAAAAAATCAAGAAAAAAATCAAAGTTGGAAGAAAACAGAAACAACAAAACACAAAAAAACAAAAACTATCAAAAAACATAATTTTTCAAAAAAAAGTAAAAAGCCTTCTCTGTTACAGGCCCGCCCGGCTCGGTGACCAACTGCTCGGTGGTAGTGAGCGGGCAGACGGGCCGCCTGGACGTGGGCTGCCTGCCGGGCCACCCGGGTGGCCTGCCGCAGTGGTTCTCGCTCATCCTGCTGGAGCCGCGCTCGGGCCGCGTGCTCTTCAACTCCACGACGGGCGAGGTGGACGCGGAGCCCACGTGGTCGCTGGACCCCAGCATCCTGGCGGGGCGCGGCCAGGGCGGCCGAGGCCCCGTGTCGCTCGTGGTGCGCGCGCACAACCTCAAGGGCCACAGCGCGCCCGCCGTGCTCGACGACAAGCTGACGCGGGCCGGCCTCAACCGCGACCAGCTGCCGGGTGAGTGCTTGGATTAGGGATGAAAGTGCCCGAAGAAAGCCGGGAGACAACCGGAAAAGGCTGGGGAGAAAAATAAAAAAAAGCTTTTCGCTTTTCTCATTTTTTCCGAAAATTGGAAAAAAATGGTATATCCTGTGTGCTAATTTTTTTCTACATCAAATTTGAAAACTTGGATTGAAATAACTCCTATTAGAAAAAGGGAAATCAGCTTTTAATTTGGCATAGGTCACAGTATTTTTGTTCCTGGTTGGGCGCTCTCTCCTTTCCTGAGCCGCTGGATCGCTCGCTTCCGCCGGCCTCGCCTGCCTCGCCTCTGGGCGGCGCGTCCATGGCAATCGCGATACCAGCGGGCGGCGCGGCGGGCAGACACTCCGGCCGTCAGGGAGCGCGGAATTAAACTCATGAAAAATTGGTAGACTTGTTTGAAGGGCTTGTCTGGCTCCTGGGTGTGGGGCGGGCGGGTGAGCGGGCGTACCGGATCGGGAGGAAATTGGGAAGGAGGCCCGGGGGAGGGCTGTCTGCTATTGACGTTGTATCGAGACAGGTCGTGCAGATGAGCCGGCTTTATTCAATCGATAAATACACAATCGGCAAACTCTTATTAAATCGTCAGCGTGGCGAGGGTGGTAACTGTGGAGCACAAGTAAGAGCCCGGGCGAACACAATATGCAAGTTTAACACCGCCTTGTTTTCAGAGTATTATTGTACAGCTGGAGTGGACTGGTGCGGGGTCCTAACTGCTTCGTCTCGTTTGACTGTCCGATGCGGGCCCAGAGTCCCTCCCCCCACCCCTTGCTCACAGGATGTCCCTGATCGTGGCTCGTGATGAGATGCGACCTCCACGGCGGCAGGGCGGGCGCATCCGCGCATCATACAGCCCCGCCTCAACTTCCACGCTGCCAAATTCGGTTGCGAGTCTCTTAAACATAAATAAGTGTCTTCCCCTTTTGGGGACTTTGTCGGAATCGTAAACGCGAACACAAAAATAGAGCGTGAGACAAAGCGGGATTTTAGTTTTAATTATGTCTTAAAATAAGTAGTTAACGATGTAATGCTGTGAACACCGCGTGCCATTCTGAACTTTAAAATGTGTAAATGATCTTGTTGAAAAAGCTGAAGTGCTTACAGTTTGTTTTTTCTCGAAGGGTTTTTGAGTTCGAAAAAACTTCTTGGTAACAATATGCTGATAGTGGCCTTTGCCATTATTCGCGCAGCGCAGCTTCTGGCTGGACCCGGAGTTAGTAAAACTCCACCGTAACTCTCTCTGCTTTGACGGCACTCCTGTCTGCACCGTCCAGCTCGGTCAGGACAGGCGGGCTATGGGGCGGGGGTAGAGGCCAGCAACCCCGGCCCAGGCTGGCCCAGGCGCACAAGCACTTGCACTGTCCATCTCAACTGCAATCAGCGGGCGAGCCAGTCTACAGCATTTGTCTAATGAAGGTGTCCCTGTTCGCAGAGCTCATCCTGGGCGGGGGCAGCTCCGGGCTGGTGGGGGTCGCCGCCGTGGTGCTGGGCGTGCTGCTGCCGCTCGGGCTGGTGGCGCTGGCCGTCGTGGTGCTCGTGGTGCGGCGGCGCAACGCGCTCGGCGGCGCCCTGGGCCTTCACAACGGCCACCTGGACAAGGTGGGCCACGGCCACAACGGCGCGGGGCTCGCCGGCCACCCGGGCCACCCGGGCCACCCCGGCGTCAAGCACAAGGGCGGCCCGCCGCCCGGCAGGAGGAACTCTTCGCTCGAGATCAACGACGGCGACCAGCGCTACGTCGTGTCGTACACGCTCAAGTCGCAGTCTGACGGCAAGCAGCAGCTGCGGCCGGACATCCTCAACACTCCGAGAGGTACGTACCCCCGAGGTTGCGGCCCGGGTCGGGGCCTTGCCCCGGGCGCACGAGCCCCTTCCACTCAGCCGCTCTCAGCTCCCTGCCCCACACCTGAGCGGGACAACATGCAAGCCTCCGGGCCTCCGACGCGCTCTCTTCCCTCTGCCCTTTCTCTCCTGCTCCACATGTCCCCGGCTGTCCCACTCCCCTCCGTTGGCGCTCGCCCCGTGTCCAGATCTCAAACTTGGAAGGAGGTAGCTGGAAGGCATCCACGATGCGACGATCGCTCCACGAAGACTGGAGAAAAAGTTACTTAGAACACATTGTCAGTGTGCACCTCAGGGTGTGTGTGTGGGGGGGGGGGTACGAGAATGCGCAAAACAAAGCCCTTTTTGTCGAGGTATGTGATGTGGAGTATATGTAGCTGTGCGAATAGAGCTCGGAATAGAGCGCCCTGAAAAGATAATAAGTGGATCAATAAGGGTTCGTCCACGTTGACGAATCCCTCCCCACTAACCCCCACCCCCTCCGTCCGGCAGGCGCGTCCTTCTCTTCCCTGCACTGTGTTCCGTTCCAAGTCCCCCGAGACCCATTTTCATCCGACACCCACTGACCCGGCATCCATCTATCTCTGCACTTTCTCTCTCTTTTCCTCCCCTTCTCGTTCCGCCGCTGCACACTCCCTCTCGCCCCCCACGCCGGCAACAGTGACCACAACCCAGAAAGACGGACCGGTAGAGCTAAGCAGTCGGCTGCGGCCCTCGCTGGGGTGTGGTCAGCGGGGGAGAGGGGGGGGAGGTACCTACCGTGTCCGCGAGATTTTGCGCCGTGAAACTGGGTCTACGGTCGAGGAAAGGAATGAGGGTAGTATGCAAAAGTATGGCACAAAATTATGCTCATCATTTTAGCAATTTATTTGTTTTACCTATTTTATTATTATGCGTCTGAGCGAATATAAAGGGAATAACGCATTTCGGTAAACCTTTACGGTAAAAGTTGCGTCTTGGATTTCAAGCGATCTATACTTGGTTTTCAAGGCAGGTATCTGCTTGAATTCCAAGATATTCTTTTTACCGTGCGGTTCAATGTAGGGGTGGTTAAACCAAAGCCAAAGCGACAATGTGGTTGCAGGTTGGCAAGTAAGTGACTTGCTCAGATACGACCTCACCACCCTCTCCGTACATCGCCCATGCATCGCATCGGACGAAGTCAGCCGGTGTTTGCCTCGGGGTTGGCAGGTTCGCGGTGCGCAGCCAACAGCTATTTAATAAATGTGGCCGTCAGACTCGCTCTCCTCAGCCTGACCCCTCGAGCCGCGGCTGCGGCCCCAGCGCCAGCGCCAGAGACGTGCACTCCGGGAGCCGACGGGAAGCCTGCAGCAAGATGCGGGTGTGCCGGGCGGGGCCGCGGTGTGCCGGGCGGGCTGGAGGGGTTGGAGGGCATGTCCCGGCCCCGGCCCCGGCCAGCGCCCCGGGCAAAGCGGGGAGGAAGGGGGAGGAGGCGTGGCGGCCCACTAATTTGCAGATTATATCAGTCCCCCTTTGTGGGGCTCCCTGCCGGCATGGTGGCGTCCGTTCGGCGTCCACCGTGTGTGTGTGTGCGGGGAGAGGGGGTGGGAGGGTCGCCTGTTGTGTTGGTCTGGTTTCTGTTCCGGAAGAGCAGCCCAGTTCCCAGTTGGAAGGCCTTTGGGTGGCCGCCAGCCGAGCCGCCAGCCCCTGGCTGCCACTGACTTCCTAGCGAAGCAGCGGCAGTCGGTTTGAAAACACACACGCAGTGGTGCTTTCTGACCGCCCTACCACCGCGCCATCGCGCCCAACTGCCACAGCCTGTACTCAACCAAATTTGGCGCAGTGTGTTTTTTATTTATTTTTGTGTTTTGTTTAATTTAAAATGAGGATTCTGCAACACACCTCAGCCGTGTGCTTGCCAGTATTGTAGACTAAAAGGGATTATTGAACGATTATGAAGGCTTCTAAGACATTGTGTAGTTCACGAATGATTCTTGCTCGGTCGGTGTAGACCGACCGTATTCGGTAAGCGAACAGTGCTTTCGTGTCCTTCCTGGTAGTACCTGTGAGCTTCCTGGTTGTCCCTGGTAGGAGGGATAATAGCAAAAGATTTAACCCTATTATAGGGTTGGCCTACGCACCACTCGAGCAGGCGTTATCATAAGCGTAGCGAGAGAACCATCCTAGTCAGAAATGGAAGTCGGTCGACCTCGAACCTTCGTCGACCTTCCTCGTAAACGTTTAGTTTTGGCTGGGTATGCACTTGTTTCGGCATGCGGTACACTCTACTGCGCCTTCAGAACGATCATTGTTCATAACTCCGCGAGACAAGCCCCCTTCCAGCCCACCCAGTCTAACATGGCAGTGAGGAGACGCTACCTACTTTTAATGTCGTGCTTTGAAGCGCTGTCGCTGTAATGCTGTCCTCACTTTTCAGCCGTGGGCGCGGAGCCGCATCCTTCGCGGCCGGACTCGCTGTTCTCGGACGCGGGCACGGGGGCCGTGCTGGCGGAGGGTCACGGCCTGGCGGCTGGCACGCTGGGCAGAAGGACGCTTTCGCCGGTAAGAGACAAACAAACTCAACTGTTGCCCCCTCTGTATTATTTTTCTTCTCTCCCAACATGCCGCGTTATGTCCCGGTTGAGGTTAAGGTACAGTTTGTCGTTAAAAGACATTTCCGCTTTCAGACTTCCCCGGCCGCCGGTGGGCTCTCGCCTCGGCTCTCGCCCGGGCTGATGGGCCGCACGCCGTCCCCGCCGGAGCGAACGCCGCCGCCCGCGCCGTACCAGCCGGGCTCTCTGGGAGGCTCTCTGGGAGGCCCTCTCGGAGGCTCTCTGGGAGGCCCTCTCGGAGGCCCTCTGGGAGGCCCTCTAGGGGCGCCACACCAAACCTTGAACGGCTCGTTGCGACGGAACAAGGGCCTGTTCATCGCCACCAACATTCCTGGACCCGAGAGCTGTGTCTGAACGTGTGTAGGCAAGGACTAACGGACTCTACTAGGGCAGAACTTTTGCCTAGCTCCATATCACACCAGAAACAAAATATAAAGATATCCCACGGTGTCAGCGTAGCATTTCTACTCTGTTAGATGCGCCTCCCATGCAGTGCGTAACGCCAAGTTGTGGGCTCTAAGGTTGTGAACTTCCTAGTCAGTAACGGTATTTTTTTTATAATTATGTTTAAGGTGCTTAGGTAGCTTTTATTTTTAACAATGAACCTGTATTTTGTTGGAAGCTCTGGAAAGAGAAACAGTTTGTAAACATTGTTTTTATCATTCGCGTTAATTCGGGGTTCCGCTTCTGTTTACGCAGATATGTTCTCTTTCAAAAATGTAAGTCAATCGTGCATTTGTTGCAAAGGCGAAAATGACAATTCAACAATTTTATGGTGCCTCCGAAAATAACCAAAAGCAGAATCAGGAGAAAAATAAATTATCTTTCCAGAGGTCAATAATGTACTGTGCATGTAGTTTTCACCAAATCTGAGGCCGTGTTCGGTTGTGTCTTCCATTAGAACACTCATCAACTCTATCAAACAAAGAGCGAAGCCCAACTTGGGCGTGGTGAATATGGCAGTTTATAGTCAAAACATCTTTTCAGAGTGAAATGAGACTTTAGATGAATCTTTTTTCCATTACCATACCGGATGTATCAGCGCGGACGCCGCTGATGCGGGATTGCATACCCTTGCGAGCCGTAGGCGCAATGGCGCCTTACAGGCAGAGCGAGCTAGTAGGCAAACCCGCGTCCGCCCTGATAAACCCGCTACAGGATCTTCACACGATCAGAACTTCCATTCTCTGCCGAGATGCGAATGTAGTTCTGCTACTAAGTTGTAAAATCACATTGACTGGCCATCGATTATGGAGATATCTGATGAGCTCGCTATGTTCACCCCCCTAAAAAGGCACACGCACAAATTTGTAGATTCTTTTTACACAGATAAACTTAAAAAAATGAAAGTAGCAAATGATAATTTTATAACAACTCGTCTAACTGTAAGAAAATATGCTGCCAAGTAAGAATATTGTAAACCGCGTTTTCTTGTAACAAAGGGACTGAAATAAAGAATATTGAATTCTAATACCATTTTGCTGAGCTATTTTGCGAATCTAAATTGGCGCCGGTACACAGGCTTATTTTTCCCTGCCGCATCCCCTGCCCATCCTGCTTCCTCGCCTCGGTTCCACGCTGCGCTGATCGTGGCGTGAGCGCGAGTTCTTAACCGAATGTGTCCTGTATGCATCACAGATCTGTTTGTGTCCTAATCCAGACCAACGCATTAATGACTGTAATTTTATTAAAATGGACTGCTTTTCGTAATCTAGATTGGAAACCTTTGTGCTACAAATAAATCCTTAGAATTGGTAAGGACTATCGGCTTCATAATAAGACTAGGTAGATGTACGCCAGACCACGTCTCGTGTAACACCCGGGTGGAAGGATCTGTAGTTCGAACTACTCTTAATGACTTTAGTTAATATGTATTCATATGTTCAGTTTAAAACTAATACAGAAGAAGTTGAAGTGCGCTTCGGTAATAGATTGAACTATTCCCTATACGTTAGTCTAGACTCCTAAATAAGAACATTTCAAGTGCAGTTTGATTGGTGCAGTCGAACCACAGTTAGACCACAGTTTTCTGTAGTTAAATTATAGTTTAACTACAGAAAACTGTGGTCAAACTATAGTTTGACTCCACGGATTTCGGATGGCTTCGCGATATCTCACGAAACACTGTTACGCTGCGACGCGCCTGGCCTACATCTACCTAGGCCTGCGGCGCTGACACCCGAGTCGGGCAAAGGGCACAGCCGTAAATAGGCCTTCGGCCCCAAAAGTCACTAATCATGTTCCTTGAGGTGCCAGTTTGATTAGTTACTCCTCCGGACACCATAAAATATCTGAGAGTTAACATAAAAATGTTTTGGGGTCATTTCCGTGTGAAAAACGCCCTCTGGCGCCCAAATGGTTAGAGATAGAGCCAAACGGTCAACATTTTGGTGCAGAGGGATCTACTTTGACGAGTTACCTCTAAAAAAGATGTGAAAAAAAATTCTTAAAGAAATATTTCATATGTTTTGGACTTTTTGTTAATGATTTTTTTGACACGTTAATTTTTGAGCCAGAGGGCTAATCAACACAGTTCTTCTTTTTTATGATACAAAGCTACAATAAAAATTAGAGTCTCCTAGCTCAAACCGTTTTCTAGTTATCGTGCGCACAGACAGACAGACAGACAGACAGACAGACAGACAGACAGATAGGCAGACAGACGCGAAACTTTTTGATCATCACTGGAGTAATAGGCTTCGCTAATCGCTCAACCAATAAGACGAAGAGAATCGGCGCTGTTTCTAACATACTCTGGAAACTCAAGGATGAAACGGTCCAACAGTTATAAGTGGAATACCACGAGTTTCACAGTTAAAACTGCAGTACCATACATGTATCACACTTCCAACTAGTACCACACTGTGTCACGCCTAAAAGTGAAGAGTGGTGTAGAACCGGTACTAAAATTTAAAGCGTGATACATGTGTGGTACTATAGTTGGAAGTGGGATGCCTTAAAGCAATAAGAAATAAAGAATCTGAATAAAAATAAGAGGTGAAGCCTTAACAATCGAGTCGAGTAGCCCCCAGGAGTTTGGGAGATCACGGCCCAACTTATGGGGATCCAACCTTCCCAATAGTAAAGTTTATAGGGTTGATGTGAGTCAGAGATATGTTGTTCTGATCAGAGTACTACAACAATGGCTGCGAAACTAATTTTCGAGCAATTATTACCGTTGGAAAGATAACTGAGGTCAAAGTTAAAATGAGCGCTTGCTTCTAAAACGCCTCATGTTGCAGTCTGTGCGTTGGCAAGCCTGCGCATGAGAACGGCATGGTAGAACTGAGGTATATTTCGTACGCGCGAGGAGCGGCGTCGAGTAAATGGGCAAAATGGGAAAAAAAAAAAAAAAAACAAAGGAGGAAAGAAGTTGAAAATTACTTCCCCATGAAAATTAATTGCCAACATAACAAAATCACAAAACAACAGAAACGCACATCGCTTCCGCGACCAGGGATCAGCCTCTTTATGTCTATAACAATGCCTAGTACTCGTGGTATTGCACTTATAACTGTTGGATTGGGGTTCGGATAGTGTTTCTCTGGGTGCGTCGCCCGGGCAGTCCGGGGCCTTTCGGCCAGGCAGGGATTATGTGCAGAGCAGGTCCTAGGCTTCTGCTTACACCCTGGGCGCGTCGGTCGACGTCGGATATCATGTACTGTCCGAGAAGGGATCTCCTCGAGTTGGTTCGGGTTAAGCTGACTGGCCGCCGGGACGTCTATGCAGCACATGCGCCTGGGGGGTAGGCTGTCCCGTTGTGCTCGCAAGCACCACAGGCTTGCCTATGCACCCTCTGCTAGGCGCTTGGCAAGTAAAGCTACAGCACTCTTCTTTGGACGTCCCTTTTTGTGGCAACAATGCCGGCAGTCAGAGTGGTACTACACTTTTAAGCGTGATACATGTGTGGTACTGTAGTTGAAAGTGTGATACATGTATGGTACTATAGTTTTAACTGTAGGGCACAAGCAGGCAAGGACCTGCTCTGCACATAATCCCTGACCAGCCGACAGGCCCTGGCCCAAGTCCCTGCTACCATCAAAAGGAAGAGCGAGGGAGGGGGGGGCACGTTTTCCCCTCTGGTAGAAACACTCTTTAAGGGAAGGGACTGTCTAAAAATAACTCAGACAGATCCATTAATCTCTGTAACTTCCATTTAGTTTGTTTCATGGAAACAATGTTGGTTAGGGCAAGTCCAAAAGCCACTTTTTTCGATTCCGAATGACAACGCCCGTGGCGCGTCGGGTAGGCCTTCCCGCCAAGTGTTTGTCTGGAGATAGTGGCCTACCCTCAGCGCCTGAGCGGCGATACCCCCTGCCAGCCGCCTGCTCTCGTCAACATATGTGGACGCACGGTCGTAGGCCTCTCGGTGATACCGCGTCAGCTGCGAGAGGCCCTAGTTTGCCAGGAGGTGAAAATGCGCAACTTTGCGCAGGTCCACTGTGTTCCCCACACTTCAAAGCATATGTTCCTCAACGAGTCGGTGCTTGGTCGCGTTGAATGCTATTGAAGCGAGTAAAAAAGGGCTGTCATAAGGAAACTTTTAAGCAATTTTCCCTTAATTATCAGCTTTAAATCGAGTCAGGAGCAGCCACTATAGGGCAGGCGAGTAGTTTTATATGTTAAATGCAAGTTCATTAACTCTGGGTAGCGATAGGGAATGCCTGGGGTTAGTTTTAAAACCCGATGTAGAGGTCATTTTAGCGAAGTTTGAAATTGAATAAATTCTTTATTGTTCTATCTTTGCACTGCCATAGCTCCCAAACGAAAGGGCTCAGGTCAAAATTCTCTTAGGGCTTGTTACTTTGGACACTTTTAAACCCATCCGCCTTTTAAGGGTTTTTCCCGCAAAAAGGGGATCGCCGAACCACTGTGACCTGTTCCTTCGTGCGCATGGACAAGGCGAGAGCTTCGAAAAGGCATTGATACCTTTCGTTTTCGCTTCATTTCTTAGCGCTGTTTATCTCTGGTTGATATTCTACCATCGGCGGAAGAAATGAATATTCGTCTATAGACGGTTCTGTGTAAGCTGACTCGCGTCCTGTCTGCTGTAGCTACAATCGTGTACCTACAAACAGGGGCGTACTTTTTAAGGGGACAACCCAGTAAAAACCATCAAAAAATGAATTACTAGCAGATGTTACAAACACTGTAAAAAATACGTACGTCACTTGCGTGTGTAGTTTCCCTTAGAAATTTTATGTAAATTTGGTCAAAGGATGCGACATGGAAAATAACCCATCACCAATCATCCGTCACCTATCACTTGCGATTTCGTGTTTATCCATCGCGAAATCCAATCATAAGGTGTATAGTCACATTTATTGTTTACAAAGAGCTAAGTCTTAACCACAATCCGAGTTGTACGCGTAAGTACACGAAATCGCAGGTGATGGGTGACGGGTGATAGGTGGCGTAGATTGATCCATTGGGGTTCAACCCAAAATCGGGATCCACATTTTAAGCACCCCCCCCCCCAAACACACAAACAATCAAGGCAGCTAATTTTCGAAACAAATTTATTTTCACCATCTCAGGCAAGTTTTCCTAAAAGCCAACTACAAAAAGTAGGCATGTTAAGATACGGTCAAATTCAACACGACTGCTGAATCATCACCAACCAAAGTCTGCAAGACACCCTGCAAAGCCTGCGCTAAAGCAGTAACCGCTGTGGAGTTCGACGACCCATCTGCACTGTCAAGATTAATAGTAACTGATGGTTCAGATTCTACCGCTTCAGAATCGGATGCAGCACTGGTGGACTCACTACTCAAATCGACAGAGATCGTAATTTTAGAGTCAGTGTCATCGTCACTCTCAGCAGCGGCGGTGGTGGTTTCACTGGAAAGCTCGATAGCGATGGCTATGTTGGAGTCATCATCGTCTTCGGTCTCAGCAACGGCGGTGGTGGTCTCACTGGAAACCTCGATAGCGATGGCTACGTTGCTCTCAGCAGCGGCGGTGGTGGTCTCACTGGAAAGCTCGATAGCGATGGCTACCTTAGAGTCATCATCGTCTTCGGTCTCAGCAGCGGCGGTGGTGGTCTCACTGGAAAGCTCGATAGCGATGGCTACGTTAGAGTCAGCATCGTCTTCGGTCTGAGCAGCGGCGGTGGTGGTCTCACTGGAAAGCTCGATAGCGATGGCTACGTTAGAGTCAACGTCATCTTCGGTCTCAGCAGCGGCGGTGGTGGTCTCACTGGAAACCTCGATAGCGATGGCCAAATGCGAGTCAACATCGTCTTCGGCCTCAGCAGCGGCGGTGGTGGTCTCACTGGAAACCTCGATAGCGATGGCTACGTTAGAGTCAACGTCATCTTCGGTCTCAGCAGCGGCCTTGGTAGTCGTGGTGGTCTCACTGGAAACCTCGATAGCGATGGCTACGTTGGAGTCAGCATCGTCTTCGGTCTCAGCAGCGGCGGTGGTGGTCTCACTGGAAAGCTCGATAGCGATGGCTACCTTAGAGTCAGCGTCATCTTCGCTCTCAGCAGCGGCGGTGGTGGTCTCACTGGAAAGCTCGATAGCGATGGCTACGTTAGAGTCAGCGTCATCTTCGCTCTCAGCAGCGGCGGTGGTGGTCTCACTGGAAAGCTCGATAGCGATGGCTACCTTAGAGTCATCATCGTCTTCGGTCTCAGTAGCGGCGGTGGTGGTCTCACTTGAAACCTCGATAGCGATGGCTACCTTAGAGTCAGCGTCATCTACACTCTCAGCAGCGGCGGTGGTGGTCTCACTGGAAAGCTCGATAGCGATGGCTACCTTAGGGTCATCATCGTCTTCGGTCTCAGCAGCGGCGGTGGTGGTCTCACTGGAAAGCTCGATAGCGATGGCCAAATGCGAGTCAGCATCGTCTTCGGTCTCAGCAGCGGCGGTGGTGGTCTCACTGGAAAGCTCGATAGCGATGGCTACGTTGGAGTCAACATCGTCCTCGGTCTCAGCAGCGGCGGTGGTGGTCTCACTGGAAAGCTCGATAGCGATGGCCAAATGTGAGTCAACATCGTCTTCGGTCTTAGCAGCGGTTGTGGTGGTCTCACCGGAAAGCTCGATAGCGATAGCCAAATGTGAGTCAACATCGTCTTCGGTCTCAGCAACGGCGGTGGTGGTCTCACTAGAAACCTCGATAGCGATGGCTACGTTGGAATCAGCTTCGTGTTCGTTCTCAGCAGGGGCGGTGGGTGTCTCAGTATTAATAGTGACGTTGATCTCATTTTCTGTCGCTAGTTCGTCTTCTGCATTTGCGACTGCTGTTTCGATACGTGCGTCTGTAGCATCTTTGCTGTCTTCTGTGTCTTCTACAAGTTTGTCGATTATGTTGTCTGTCAGTTCCTGGACTGTTTCGATAGCAGTTATGCTGTCCTCGATTTCCTGATCAATCTTTTCCTGGGCATCGACAGCAATTTGGAAAGCGGCGTCCACTTCTTTTTCGGCTGCTGCCTTTTCGTCAAGGGCTATTTTAATTTTTGACTCGGAACCTGATTCGACGGCCAGGGAGAGCTGGGCGTCGGCGGCGGCCTCCACCATCTCAGCGGCGTCTAGGGCAATATCCAGGGCCTCGTCAGCTGCATCTTGAGACTTGGAGGCAAGTTTCACTACAGCCTCCAACTCCTTGTCGGCGTCCTCTTTGATGTGGTCGGCGTCGGCCTCGGCGCGGTTGAGGACTGCGTCAAAGACTCCGGAAGCTTCGCGAGCCACGCGGACCGCGACTTCAGCTGCATCCTTTCGTTCCTCCAGTAGGGCCTCCGCGACCAAGATCTCTTGGGCGATGGTCTGGTTGGCCGCCTCCAGTGCGGCTACGGCATTCACAGCAGCTGTGGCGATCACTTCCTTGGCTTTCTTTTCTGCCTCTTGCGCGATCCCGAGCCCTGCCTGCACTGCAGCCGAAGCAGCGGCCTCAGCAACCTCTGCGGCCTTGAGTCCGGCGCTCAGCGCCGTCGCAGCTGCCCTCCTGGCCTCTGACAAGTCCAAGTCGGTATCACCTGCCTGCAGCAGGCTTTCTTCCGCCTTGTTTCTGGCCTCCACGGTGGCGTTGAGGTTCAGCACGACCAAGTCCTCGTTTTGCCCGATGGTCACGGACAAGTCGTCATCGCTGTCATCGTCATCCTGGCCGAAGCCGAACCAGCTGGGCAGTTTGCTGAGGGCCGATGAGGCGGCGCCGAGCGCAGAAGAGAGGGGATTGCTGTGTTCCTCCACCTCTGGTACTGTCACCTTGACGATAGTCGCGCTGTCCTTCTTTTCCTCTTCTTCACCCAGTCCGAACCAGCCCAGTGCGCGCTCGAAGGTTCCCAGTCCCCCACGGATCCCGTCCTGCGCCGCGTGGAGCGCTCTGGAGCTGGCGTCAGCTGCATCGTGCACGGCCTCGGCGGCGTCCTCGGCGACGTCCTTGACCTTTCCGATGAGGTCGTCCACGCCGAAGTTGAACCCAAAGAGGGGTGAGCCTGAGGCAACCTGCACAACACCAACAAAGAAAGGAAGGAAACTGCAGGCTTTGTCCGGGAAATGTAATTGCAGCCGAAGTTCGTCGGTCTATCGCACATTGCACCCAGTGAACCATTAAGTTGATACCACCAAGAGGCGTCGTACGATATAAAATTAAGTTCCTCAAACTGACAACGATCTAGTACCCTCACTTTTATAACTATACATGATCGAACCAATTTAAACAAAGTTAAGATGACTTAATTAATAAGTCAGTGAAGTCAAAATTTCGTCCACACAACTAAAATTTTATAAATTTTGTATTTGGTCCCCTGGACACAGAACGATTTTCTGTGTGTGCATTCGTCTAAGGCCGCGAACTCACCTGCAGTGCGCACAGCGCCAGCAGCGCCACAGACAGAACCCTCGCCATGGTGTTAGACCGCCAAAGACAGTGGCCCGCCACGCTCTGCCCTCGCTTATATCCCCTCGCACACCTTGAGTGAGTTCAGGTGCAGCCCGTGTCAACACTAGCCGCTGCGGCCATCACCAGGCACGCAGCCTGCACACGGGAACTACGCTTCTGAGGACAAGCCCCCCGAGTAGTGTGGAGGCCAGAGGCTACCCCGAACCGAGAGTCAATGCGTGGGTATGTAGAAACAATGGGGAAAAGACTCACTGTTCTGGAAGGGGAGAGACGAGACGAGCTCGGAGACGAGCCGCTCGGCTCCACTGCGAAGGCAATGTCGACTACAAACCTATTGCGTCGTGTTTGTCTTCAAGCCCTGAATATAGTTCCGGCTCGTGCGGTAAGAAATGAACATAGTCACATAGCCACCGTTTGCTTTTGATGTGGTACGTCCACATGTGGTATCGTCCAGAAAGTACGTTCGTTCTCTTATGTTCATTCTGAAAATTACAGGAGCTCAGCGCCTGCAAGACTCGGGATAGGCTACCCGCTGTGCGCACGTGCATTGCAGGCAAGATTTTGCCTACCCACCAGGCGCTATAAAGGCTGGCATTGGCGGAACTTAGCAGGTTTAGAACGGCGAATGACGGACGCACTTACTCCTGGATGATCCCTAAGGTGGCCCTCTGATGGTGCAAACCACTAATAACTTCTGAGCTTTTACATTTAACGTTACAGCAGACCTGGTTTTTGTCGGGAAATAAAACGGGCTAAAATGATAGGGTGTACTACTCTCAGGGCCACCTTTACTTTTCTATTCGTTTACATTCGTGAAGCCAATCTTCAATGTCATCACGATCACAACGATCACCGCGCCGCCTTGTTTGCGTCAGTCTGTTTGAGCAACAGCTCTGCGCCAGGAGCGCAAACACCTCTTTATTGTAATTGTAGTAATGTCGCACGTCATGAGCATCGGGATTAGAATGTAGCTTAGACTCACCGGTTGAGGATTATACTAATGTTTGAGAACGAAACTGTCACAGTGAGATATGGTCGATACCATGGATGATAATATCGATACCGGTGGGCACAAAATGACATCATTTCGATGATCGAAATCGCCAACGTTTCGATTAACTACTTACGACTATTGCATTAACTACCTCTGGCGGATCTAACCTAAACCAACTTAGTGGAGACACTGACATACCTTTTGACTAAACATAAAGAATGTATAGGTAACTTTAAGGTGTCAGCTTGCTTACTCTCGATAACGACAGAGAACCAAGCGGAGACCAGAAAACAATTTATTTGGCGCTGGGGGAATGGTGTTCGAGTGAGTGCCTGGCTGGCTGAGGTTCGGGCCAGGCCCTTACCCTAACTTACTAACAATACTGCGCCAGGCAGGCAGGGCAGGCCCCGTCCCTGCACAACAATAGTAGGCCACCGACGCCGGCCGCTCTGTCCGCGCCTTATGCCCTCCTCAACGCCGCTAGAACGCCGAATTACAAAATAGCGAGTAACAAGCAGCCATATATACAAATGACAGCTAAATATAATGGAAAATTAGAAAACAGACCTATTCCAAAATTTGTATCATCTGCTTCTGCTTTCAAGATCGATTATCGGTTGAGATTTTTAGCAGATGATACCTTAAAAAAACTTTTGACTAAACGTAAAGAATGTATAAGTAAATTTAAGGTGTCAGCTAGCTTTTACTCTCGATAAGGACAGAGAACCAGGCGCACACGCCCCTTTTGTAGTTAAACAGTTGTAGCTACAGACAGTCGACTTGACCGCATGCAGCTTCATCCGAACCAAAATTGTCGGCCCTAAGATCAACTCCCGGGCGGGGCAAATTTTTTCTTTGTCGCTTTTTGTCTCCCATTCGGCATGACCGCGCTCAGACCTCGGTCCCGTAGGAGCAAGCTGGTAGCCGAGCGTGTTAAAGCGTGATCGTAGGCAGATCGTGCGGGTGGTCGGTAGTTCGAATCCCATCCGCGGTCATTTTTCCTGCTCTGCTGGCCAAGAGTGTCTTCGGGCGTCGATTACAGCTTAGATCAAGATGCCGCTGAAAGTAGTACTCTGTATTGTTCCGTCGTGGCCAAGTCGGTAGCGTCCCGGCCCGGTATGAATCTGATCGCTGGTTCGAATCTCGGCCCGG